ATATAATTTCTTACTTTGGTTTTAAATGACTTGTTAATTGCAACATCCAAGGGTTGTAAACGTGATGTCAGTCCTCCGGGAATAATGGCTAAATTGGTTTTTTTTTCATCAAAACGACGTTTTACAGAATCGACTATATGTGCTGAAAAGGAATCTAAAACAAGTAGAGATTGTGGATTGGAAAGCGGAGCACGTTTGATCCAAACATTTTCGATTCAATAAAGCATTTCCTCTTCATTCATCCATCCTGTTGGATTAGCCCGAACAATTATTTCTGATGGAAAATCTCCTCACAGAATTTTTTTTAAGCTTAAAAATTACAGTAGGAGGGAGCTTTGTTCCATCAACCATACAAGCCAATACTATGGTAAAATTAGTTTTTTCATGTCCTGTTGTATGAATAGTAATAGATCGAGTACCCAACTCATCAATTGTGGTATTGCTTGGAAGATCAAATGTCATAGGTGTTTCGTCCATATTGCCGATAAAGGTTAATGAATAATCATAATATATACGTCGATACATAACAAATGCTAAAAATTCTTGTTGTTGTTCGATTAGATTTTCCGGTAAATGTTGTGCAATAGTAGTTCTACGACGATTGCTCAAATTATTGCGATGCATTAAACCATTCAACCATTTATGATTAAAAGCAAATGATTGAATGTCGGGATAGGTATTTTTCCATTGTGTCTGTTGTGCAAATGCTTTTTCCTTTACTTGAATCATATTTCGTGAAATAACTTGTTGATTTTTTCGCCGTTCTCTTATCCATTCAATTAACGCAACTTCTAAAGCTGGATATTTTGGAGATTTGCCTTTATTTAATCGCTTTACACTTGGTTGTGCTTTTAAAAGTTGATCCTTTTTAGATAGCCAATCCCAAAGTTGCTTTGTTTCAATATTGAATTTAGATGCAGTTTTATTTTTGCTATGTCCTTTCTCGTAATACATAATAGCTACAAGTTTTTCCCGCGCATTCCATTGGCGACGCAACTTTTTTGATACCCTTGAATGTTTTATAGATTTGTTAGCGCGTGGAGACATTATTACAAAAGACAAAAAATATAGACCTTTAGCAATAAAAAAATTACGTGTCACGCAGTTCAAGATTTATTCAACCGTCTATATTTAAAAAAATAATGTGATACAAATCTATCGATATAAAAAGTTAGCCGCAATAAAAAAATTTTGAAAATTATTTACTTTTATAGTATCCCCCTTCTCACATAGTATCCCCTGGGGTACTATTCAAGTTAGTCTGTAATTTCTTAAATAAGATCAGGGGTACTGTAGTAAATGCTATACGGTAAATATTACCTATTACAGATAACGATCACCGCTTAAATAATCGCATCGACCTACCAGAGTTACATCCAGGGTAATGCCGGTTATTGCTATGTGGATAAAGCCATGTCGGCAGTATTTGCTAGAAAAACAGCTCTTTAACCTCCTAAGTGACAATGGCTATTTATTTAAGTGACGGTATGCTTTTGATGTTAATAAAAAAGCGAATATATAGTGAACTTGACTTTGAGTTGTCATTTTTAAGATGCATCTTACTTGAAAAAATCTTTAAATTTTGGGTCCGACGATAAACTTCCATTTGTTGATGTTAATAAATGGGTTAAGGTATATGGGTTTTTCATGCTTTTTTTTTCGGATATTATGCACTTAACTAATTCAATTCGATTCTCTTTTAATAGATTTATTTAAGTAACGGTATGTTTTTGATGTTAATAAAAAGAGCAAATGTATAGCGAACTTGACTTTGGGTTGTCATTTTTTTTAAGATATGTCTAACTTGGAAAGATCTTTAAATATTGGACTCGATGATAAACTTCCATTTGTTAATGTTGATAAATGGTTTCAGGTATATGGATTTTTCATGCTTTTTTTTTTTCAGATATCATGCACTTAACTAATTCAATTCGGTTCTCTTAATAGATTTATTTAAGTAATGGTATGTTTTTGATGTTAATAAAAAGAGCGAATGTATAGTGAACTTGACTTTGGATTGTCATTTTTAAGAAATGTCTTACCTGGAAAGATCTTTAAATATTGGACTTGATGATAAACTTCCATTTGTTGATGTTGATAAACGGTTTCAGGTATATGGGTTTTTTATGCTTTTTTTTTTTCGGATATTATGCACTTAACTAATTCAATTCGGTTCTCTTAATAGATTTATTTAAGTAATGGTATGTTTTTGATGTTAATAAAAGAGCGAATGTTTAGCGAACTTGACTTTGGGTTATCATTTTTAAGAGATGTCTTACCTGAAAAGATCTTTAAATATTGGACTCGACGATAAACTTCCATTTGTTGATATTGATAAACGGTTTCAGGTATGTGGGTTTTTCATGCTTTTTTTTTTTTCGGATATCATACACTTAACTAATTCAATTCGGTTCTTTTAATAGATTTATTTAAGTAACAGTATGTTTTTTGATATTAATAAAAAGAGCGAATGTATAGTGAACTTGACTTTGGGTTGTCATTTTTAAGAGATGTCTTACCTGAAAAGATCTTTAAATATTGGGCTCGACGATAAACTTCCATTTGTTGATGTTGATAAATGGTTTCAGGTATGTGGGTTTTTCATGCTTTTTTTTTTTCGGATATA